ACATTTTTCTTGTTTCTTGCTGTGACAGTATCTTTTTCCTGAAACACTTTGCATGCAATTTTTCTCTCTGTGTAGCATGCAATTGTTGTCTAAAAAAATCGTCCGGCCACCCCCCTGGTTTCAAATGGTCGACCCCCTAATGCAAATTACTAGTAACTATGAGACAGCCTAAAGAACTCTTTTCAAATTCCCTGGAGTGGCTTGAAACTCGGTATGCATGCTGCAACACAAAAAACGCGTAGTATGATTGGTTTTCAAACAGATAGTCACGTCTACGCACGGTAAGGTGTTTAGGGTTATTAAACAAATCTCAATATAAACGCAAAAAAGATTTTTCAATTTCCATGTCTTAATTTATTTTGTGAGTCTCCCCCAACAATCCCCGCCCGGCGAATATCTAGTGTGAATCTGTATCCCATCTCACACGCTGTTCAGAATTTCGGAAGATTCCCTTGTTTGCTTTTGACGTTTTTGTGCTTTGTTATTTTTTCTTTATTGGTTTCTAAACGGAATGCCTTCTGGAAGCACTTTTATTCTGTAACTAGAAATTTAGACAACGTTCATGTTGTTGCGCCCTCTCAGACAGCAATACGATGAGCGCCAAAAATAAGAAAGAAAATTAACGAACAAACGATCACGATTTGGGTATACGAAAGTAATAAGAAATCACTTCTGATGCCCCGACTGTCCACGGGGACTATCTTTTTTTAATTTCGCGTTGAAAATGTTAACTTGTTTTGTTATTTTAATATCTACGTAATACACCACACGTAAGGCAACATATCGACTCGGAAATTGTACCAGTTGTGTCCACACAGCACACCGTCATTCAAGCGAATTCAGAATTCTAGACAGAAATTATTACGAAATTAACGCTATTAACGTTGTGCTGATTCCATGTGTTTGTTGTTAAACCTGACAGTTACTTAGCCCAAGGATGCACGCTGTACCTTGTATTCAATAATTGCCAGTGCGAACATATAGCAGAGTACTTTCTCACGTAACAGGGACTTATCTTCGTGATTTATACCGCGTGCTATTATCCAGATCATGCCTAGCTTTTGACAGGAACCGGAAGTGTAATCAACAGCAGCAACAATGGTAGGTTGAGCTATTCTTGTGATGTGTATTTTAGTAATTTCAGATCTACTTGGTGTCATTGAAGTTGTTATTTTCACATATTGAAATGTTATTCACACAGAAAAGCAACGGATCCTCATAGTCTAGCGCCCACAAACGTGGAAATTCGTCAGAAATAAAGTACTGTGTGTACAGTACACTTCCCCGGGACTGTACTATTGATCGGAGAATGTCCTTTGATTTGGAGATGATCTTCATTTTTCCCATGTATTAACATAAGAGGGGTGGGGGGGGGGGTTGGCAGAAAATTTTTCAATAAAAGTATGTTCTACAGATCTCGGACAGTCGTATCAGATTCGCCCGCTCCCTTGGTCCACTACTTCCATCGCAGGTGACACCCCCTTTCAGTTTGGTAGGGGTGTGCGACCGTGAAGTAAAACCCCAGACCATATCATAGACCATTTTCACCTCAAAAACCATACCCCATTATATCCCAAACAGTGATTTTGTATATCCCACCAGACCAAATTGTCACTTAATTTATTCAGTTATAGGTTAAATCTACTCTAATGGGGCCGGGTCATATCATCATCACCTTACCAGTACCGATATGCATATTGTCTGCCATGTTTGTGTCAGTTTGATCAATGAATAAAAGCATGATTTCAGCAGACGACAAGTGGGTTCCGAGTGAGTCCCAATGTGGTCCTGACTAACTAACTGCTATAATCCCTCTCCAGTAATAATGTTGGCATGTGTAAAAATCCCATAATGTGAATGGAGCTACATTCAACATGTAAAGCTCTTAATATCTTCAAAAGAAAGATTTTCACAAAATTTTCTGTAAAATTCTGTATAAAATACCTTATTTTCGCTTGCAACTAATTTTCGCTATTTTCGCTGAAGGAATGATTCAGTGAAAATAAAATCCACCGAATATACCTTTTTTCCTATATTTTACATTCAACTCATCAAAAATCAGTGAAAAAATAAATTCCACACAAAACACCCAAAAAGTCGTTTCAGCCAAAATTAATTCCAGCTAAAATAAAGTATTTTATAGTACTGTTTACAGAGAATATTTTAAAGCAATCAGTTTTCAAAACAGTGCAACTGAATTACTGATGATATTTCTATAATTATGAAATCATAAAATGTCCATATTTCTATTCAGTAATTGTTAACTATTATTTTGTTTTATAGCTTCGCTTTACAGCACTAAATGAAGATTCTGATGATGAGAGTGAAGATGAAGAAATTCAAGAAAGTACCAAAGAAGCACAGGTTGGCACAGAAAAATCCGGTCATTAATCAACTCAGAATTATTCTGGCGATTCACTAGTTTGTTTTTCTTCTATCAATCTTAAATTATGTTACTCTGGGTAGTCTTACAAAATAATACTGCGTTTTTTGTGTCCCTTTATGTGAATGTTATGTTTATGTAAAGGGGGTTTGAACCCCCTTAAAGGTGGGTTTCAGCAGCACTGGCACAGATATTACGTAATAGTTATGTCGGCATAAAAAAAGTTAAGAACATGTTACGTCAGCATAAAGGGTTTAAATATGGTTGAGGCAACACCAAAAAAAATCCTACAGCAATATCTTTCTGAATAAAAAACAAATCTAGCTTTGTTGAGTGATTGTATTACAATGTTAACCCAGTCTAACTCTGAATTATCCATTGTCTCCTTTCTTACTATCATTTATGATTTTGCAAAATGACGTATATTTTTATTTGTAGGAAGCGGAGTTGTTTGATCTGTATAACAAAGCACTAGTGCAACAAAGAGCTGGAAAACATGATGAGGCACAGCAAATTTATGAAGAGTTACTCAAAACTACATTGCTAGCAAAAGTAAGCAAGTTTAGTTATTGTTGTTACCAGTTTATTTCTTTTGTTGACTTCTCTATCTCATTGGATCAATGGTGGTCAGGGACTTTAGATTTAACTCCACAATTGTATGTATATACAACTCAATCAGGATGGTTGATTCAATTTCAAGATATTTATTTCTTTTCTGTGGTTGTATTCGATTTCTGTTTTGCATTTCCATATACAGTCATCTTCTAGAACATCAGAAACGAAAGAAGGACTGGTCCATCCCGGCGTGGTATTGCAATATTCAGCTCTGAAGAATCTGGCTGGTCTGGCAGCAGAGAAGAAAGATTATAACACTGCGATGGAGTATTATATAAAAGTTAGTACATGTTTGCTACTAAACTTACAAAAATATAGACAATTTAAAGACATTACAAATGTTTGAGTCTTTCAGATTTGATTCCAGCCCATCTGTCTACAGTACTTTGGCTCCACTGCTAGGGTGTCTCACATTCCACTCATCAGTGCTCAAAAAGCCAGTATTTCAAGGCGCATAGACAAATCTCATTTTTCTAAATTATTAGCCCTACTGAACTACTGTAAAATCTGTATTAGAAGCTGCGACATCAATTAAAATGGTACAATGTAACAGAGGGGATGCGACTTCTACATTGTATTAGAGCATCTACACGTATGAGAAATGATGAATTTTTGGTTCTCAATTGTTCAAAAAGAATGGGTGCGACTTCTATTAGGGATGAGGCTTCTAATACTTTTTTCTTAAATAAACCAAAGACACTAGTGTCTTTGAATAAACCAAATAAACTTTTTTTCATGACTATAAGTACATGTATGTGTACCCAATACTACGATGGGACTACTAACATTTAAAACTGGTTGCCTAGCAAAAAAAAAAAAATGTTAATTTCGAGTCCAGCTCATTATGTTTTTATTGTATCATATCTAGGCTGTAGACATAGACTGTAGTGATGTCTCTATTTGGTATAAAATGGGAAAGCTAGCACTGCAAGTTACACCAACTACCATTAGCCAGACTTTCATATGAGCAAGCTCTGTCATGTAACAGTAATCACTGGCCATCGTTGGATCAGCTGTGTACATTGCTATATGCAATGAATGATTATTACAGTACGTATGCTAGATAATTCATACAATTCATTGTCTTAGGCCCCTAAAAATGTTTTGTTTCTCTTCCTAGGAAAAATTGAAAAAAAAAATATACAGTGGTTTTAATTTTTTTTCTGTATTCAGATTTTTAATACCACCACAACAAGATATATGTTCAAAATTTAACATTTATTAATTTTTTAGTTTTATTTGGATCGGCAAAAATCCTCTGAAATGAACAGAAAACAAACATTTCCCCATTCTACTGTATGTGGTTTACTTTACCAGTATTCAAAATTGAAAAAAAAAAATGACATGTGCGATGAAGAGAAGCAAAATACTTTTTGGGTCTTACCAGTTTATTCATGCTTTTTGAATTCTAATTTAAATACTGTAGTTTTTTTTAACTTTAATTAATTTCAATATCTAATGAAAAGCATTTTTTTACAATGTAAATTCTACATTATTATTGATGGAAAGAATGTTCAATGTACCCAATCCCTTACCCTAACTCTAACCTTCAAGCCCCTAATTCAGTTGTATATTCAACTCTGGATAAATATAGGTGTTCTCAAGAGGGGCTTATAAAATTAATTGGGGGGAAGTAAGTGAGGTTAGGGATTAGATTTGAGTTAAGATTAGAGATGGGATACACTGAAAAGTTTTTGCTATTCACATTTGAAAATACTTTTTTCACACCAAAAAAATAATTATTCTTGAAGAAATAAAAAAAAAATGTATGTCCTCTTAGAAGGAGCCCTGGATAGCACCATTTCTATTTAAGATTTGCATCTGATGTGAGAGTAATGTCATTGTCATATCGTTAACATCCTATTATTAACTGATGTTTGTATTAGAACATTGCAACTTTAAAAAAGTAGTAGAGACTGCAAAGTTAGGGTGGAGAATGTAATGAGTACATATAAAGAGAGTTAGAATTCAAAGTTGCATTTATGGAAGCAATTTTACATCAATAACATCTTGCTATACTAGCACACCGTTGCATATTCACAAAGTTTCCATCAAATGGATTTTACGTACATGATTTGATATATAAATGCAGTTTGTAATCAGGACTGTATTGAAAATAGTTAGTTGTAGGATTTGATCAACATTAAGACATTACATGTAACTGATGTCCTCTATTTGCAGGCTGCATGCATTATATATCTAAAGCACTTGAACGTGACAGTCATTACACCAAAGGTAGGTTAACTATACAAACCATTGTGAAAGGTTTGACTACTGTAAACAGATTAATTTTCACTGCTAAACACAAAATATTTTGCAATTTTATGGCATTCATACAAAATACAAAATGTTGGCAAAAGACTTTGACGCTTCATGTCACAGGACCGTAGATAAGTTTTCACTGAAAAAAAATTTCGTGATTTTCAGTAACCTCACTTCATGCATGAAAATGTGTCTCGTGAAATAAAAGTTGTTTACTGTATGTAATAAAATTCATGGAGGAGTTCACATTGTCTATAAATGATTGACTTAATCTGTCTGAGGCTTTCGAAGTTTTGAAATATGAAGCCTTCAACATGCTGCAGTTCAAACCATGATATATCTATATTATATCGTGTAATTGTTTTCTAAGGATTGGTGTTAAGAGATAAAATGTACCAAGAACAACCGTGTATGAAACGAGAATGTGAACTATTGTTTAAATATTGGTGAGTATATTACCAGAGCTTGAAATTGAGTATTTACCAAGTATTACAAAACTAGTCATAGTTAAAAATGATTTGAAGTTTTTAAATTTCTAATTTTCTCATTCCAGTGATGTATCTGTATTTGATGATCATAAAATTACAAAAGAAATTGCTGAAACGGTAAGAACACTGACCAGGACATATACAAGTTTATGCTAGATTAAGAATATGATAGACTACTGTGTAGACTTACCTACGTACATCTCTAGCCTAGTATTTTTTATATCATGGTTAGGTCATTGTAGATTCCGATTGAAACCTCAGATTCAGATTGCATCTCAAGATTGATATTCCAAACTCAGATCAAGATTTCAGTCTCAGATTTAGATTCAGATTCAGATTCAGTCGGGATTCATATTCCAACTTCTGATTGAGTTTCATGTACACAGTAGGTCTTTTTAGTAATCTGATATTACCTAACATTATAATCCTATATGTGCTGTGCTGTGCTGTTCAGTTCTCACTTTGTGTAAAAAATCTCAATATCAAGTAGTGGATTATTTATGTTGAAAATAAATCTTGAAGTTACACTCTTGTTAATAACTACTTTTAGAGTTGATGCAGTAGTTCCCCATGTTTCTTAATACTATCATCTTTTTGTTCTTTTTTAGATTGTTGAGGAAGCAGTAGAGATAAGAAAAAAGAAGCGAGAATTGCTAAAACCTATCCCAATACCTGCTGTCAAATTCCCTCAGCCACTGGCATCATTAACGTATGTGACTTGTTTGTTGTTATTCTTTTAGTTTGTTCATTTCTAAGTATATTTAAAATCCCATTTCAGTCATCCTCTGATAATTCCATTATTTTGCAAATTTTTCATTTCTTATCAGGTGGAAAAGTTTGGGAGAAAACTTGATATCCTTATATGAATATATCAACAAACATTCTAAATTGGTGAGTTTCCATGGTAATCTAGTGTTATATACAATATATCATGCAGTCTGCAATATTACCGTAATATTATAATTATGCAAATTTTGCATATATTATTCATTGTGATGGAGAATACTGAAACCAATGGCAGGTTTAGATGAGCACACACCTTGTATGCACACATAACATGAATCAATCTGGAACATTCCTCATATTTACTGAAAAATGGTGTTAGCAGTGACTAATTTCCCAAAAGTCAGCTCTGTATCAAAGACAATTTCAGTTTTATAAAAAAAAAAGCTTTCTTGGGAAATTCAAAAGTATTTGTCATCGTGAAGTGAAATCAATGTACTTACACATGATTAATGTTTTATTACATGTACGGGTATTTGTAGAGTTTTGGGAACCATGTCGATGTCACAGACCACTTGTCAACAACAGATGAAGAAAATATGCCAAGTACAGGTGAATTTGAACATCCATGACGACATCACAAAATATACACTGAATATTATTTATTAGGAAGTGAAGCCAGTGTTCTGACTACTTCCCACAGTGTTTTAACCAGGGCTCTGA